CAACTGGGTCCCCTAATCCTCATTCACTCTTTAAAAGGGAGAGCGTCTAAGGCATTTTCCCCTCCTTCCCATATGCCTTCATGGTGTAACTGGAAGAACACTAAAAAAATGCTGAAGAATTTGTTTGGAATTGCTTGGAAAAATTGTTGTCCTGTATTTGCAGTGATACCTGTCCACAAAGAATCCACAGGAAACCAACAAACAGACAAACATAAAAAGGGGGAAGCAATTTTAGAAAAAATTGCATGATCTAGAACACCTAGATGTACCTTTGCAATTACATAAACAGAATCTTTCGAAATATATTACCCATGAATTTGCAAATATGCTAATCAGAAAAATCGGCAAACTATTTCTCTTCCATGTGTTGAAGTGCTTTTATAGGCTTTCTACTTTACACTGGTTATGTATGTCTTTATCAAGAAAGATAAGGCTTGTTGACTGATCGCTTGTTGAAGATGTCAATTATCCATTAGCATGCATAGCAATGACACATTTTAAATATTTTAAATGCCAATTTCATGCAATATCAGGATTTTTCAACACATCTTTCTATCCACAAGCAAATGATACTTTATTTTGGTAGACATTCATGCAAAGAACTTTTCAAAGGAAAACCTATTCTTTTTTAGCACAAAGTTAGGTGTTTGTGCTCCTCTGAAGGGTACTTATATCCTTCTGGCATATACTCAGGAAAATCTGCAAAGAAATCGATTGATCTTGGATTAGGTGGAGATGTTGTAACACGTTTAAGTGTGGGGAAATTTATGCATATTTTGAGAATCTCTTTTACATCACACATGTTATTGTTGGAATTGAATGAGATGGAATTTCATGCCACTGGAACAATTTGTGAGATCAGATTAGGAAATTGTCCCCTTGTACTTGTAAACAAAATAAAATAAAAAAATGGAACATATAATTTCACATTTGATAAAAAGCATGGCATCACAGTAGTTTGATGGAATGACAGTTCTGCGGCAACTGATCTGCCTTCAATAGCCAAGAGATACTTCAGAAAAGAAAACAAAATCTGTATCTGAGAAGCAACCTAAACTCATCAGAAATTACAACAAATACATGAGAGACATGGGCCTTCTAGACAATTTTGTTGTGATGTATATAAAGAGAAAGTAAGAGAAAGTAAAAGGTAAGGAATGGTGGTGGCTTATTCTTACAAATCACATTGACGTAACTAAATCAAATACATGGAAACTTTATAAAATTTCTGTATATCCCATAAATTCCTGGTTAGATTTTCAAAAGCGTGTTACACTGGCATTGCCAAAAACAAGGAAACAATATTCTGAAAATTTACAGCCTTCATTTTCGCATATTCATCGTGTTGGCTGACCATCTTTCTTCAAAAATTCAGACTTCAGCAAAATGGAAAAGGGTACTACAAATCCCATTATCAGGAAGCGTTGAACAAATAAAATGATGCAAATGATAACTGTTTGTAATAAATGTAATGTACATTTGTACACCAAAAGTTTCAAAGATTTCCCTGCATCCCAAAAATATTGATTTTTATTGATGTTATGTTTTCGTAACATTTTGTATCTTCAATAAAAATAAATATTATTTTTTCCTGCAACATGTTTCTCTTGTATGTATGTATGTTTCTCTTGTATGACTCTAGTATGTCAAGAAAAAAAAGGGATTTTTGCTCATTCTTTTCAAGCAAAAGGTAGTGCGGACATTAACGGGTTAACTGAGACAATAACCAATTTCAAGAAATCAATAGGTTGGTGTACTTAATTATGACAAAGCACACGAGGGCCATCTGCCTAAGAGGAGGGATGCCTTCGTGGAGGACTTTCTAAGGGTAATTGGCTTGTATACATATTACACATGGGGAAAAACATGAAAACGCCCATGCAGCCAGCCCATTGACGGGATTCGAACCTCGGACCGAACTACCAGTGTTCAGCGACTTTACTGCTTGGCCGCTGGTGGGCTAGAAATCAATAGGAAAATGTGGTAACATTAAAAAGAGTCTAATGAAAATTGGTAACAATTATGAGGTCGTCTTCTTATTACAAGAAGTCCAACAAAAACTGGAGTCAGAGTCGACCTGTTTTTAGCGACTCCTGCTCAGACTCCTTTTACCCCAAAATCTGCCCGACTCTGGTTCCAACTCCAGAGCCCTGCCATGTATTACAGATAAAGAAATACTAACAATCACACATTAACTTACAATGAATTTGTAGACATGTTTCAAAGGTGCAAATTAGTGATTGATGTTCTGGTTTTTCTTATTAATGATGGGTCATTTAATGACCTTTCTATACTGTATTATAGGAAAATAATATGGTTTCCATGTATGAGGGCTGTGCAGTCGGTAGGAAAAATGACCGACTCCTGGAATTTTGATGACTCCAACTTCGACTCCTTCATATATATGTAAACATATACGCATGGGTTACAGCTTTTTTTTTAAATATAAATAAAGTAACGGATGCTACAGAAAAAAAATTGATGACATAGCAAATTATTTGTATTAATTAGCATTTATTATGAAATAGAAAAACTGGCATTCGTTATTTCTAAGAAACTGTATAGCTTCAGCAAGATCTTCTTTGTTGGAGGCCTATAGATCCGATTTGATAAACTTCAGAGCTAAGAAGAGTCTTTCCGCATTAACTTGAGTAGGAGGAAGAGCTGTTACTGTTAGGGCTTACTTCTTTTAACTTTTCACGATAGATTTTTATAAGTTCTAAAAGAGGTGTCTTGCAAGCGCAATCATATTCTCTTTTCTTCAAAGGCCGTGTAAAATCCTTCTTGTATTTTTTTCATTTTTATATCTAAAGGCTCTTGTTTTTTATTTTCATTCGCTTTGCCTTAGCCTTTACAATATTATCGAAACATATTTCTCAAAATCTAATTCATCAATAGAAAAGGATGATAGAGACTCAATTGCAATGTCTGCAATTTGACTGTCCTGATTCGAATTCTCCAATTGTTCTGAGAATAAGTTCATTCTTAATGAAAGTTCATAGATGACTTTCTGTGCCTTTTTAATTTGTTCGTCATCCAAGAAAATTCGGTGTTTCGGATCTCCATATATTGAACCCAGCAAGATCTCATTGTCTAGCAAACTAATTTCTCTTTTCTTCAATGAAGAAATGATTCCTTCGGCAATAAAACCTACATTTCAGAAAGAACAAACATTCCATTCTCGCCTCCTGTCAATTCTTCAGACTACAGCTGTTTCGTGGCTATATGCGGTATAGAAAGAAGAGTTTCCAATTCTGCAAGATCATACCACAGTCTTTCTGTTAGTGAAACATTAGGATTATCTAATTCTTCTAAACAAGTTCTTAATTCTAAAAACTCTTTATCATTGCACTTCCTTATCGTGTTGCTTGATTAATAATTGCTCCTTTTCCTGCTCGCTTCCTAAGAATGGCGTCAATTTTAGGAGTTCTTGCTGCTATTGTTGCTTACCTAAACTTACCAATGAGATTTGTAACTAAATGAATCAGTTTAATTGCTAATGGCAAATATCACATCCATCCTTATATTTATTTATTATATGTCAATAAAATAGAAAATAACTATTTATTAATGCATACAGTCCATAAATAAAAATAATAACTCAGCTTGTCATTAATTTTTCATTTCATTTCAAATTCAAACTGTCCAACAAAAACTGGAGTCAGAGTCGACCTGTTTTTAGCGACTCCTGCTCAGACTCCTTTTACCCCAAAATCTGCCCGACTCTGGTTCCGACTCCAGAGCCCTGCCATGTATTACAGATAAAGAAATACTAACAATCACACATTAACTTACAATGAATTTGTAGACATGTTTCAAAGGTGCAAATTTATTGCTCGTAATGATGTTTCAGAACAAATAATAAAAAACATTGTAAACAAAGTCATCAAGGTTTTTCATGCCAGAGATCTGAAGAACAATAAAAGTTACAGTAACGAAAATGATGCTGAGGATAATGATGAAACAAAAACAGATAATATAAAAATTAGCCATGTTGAAGTCTTAAGCAAAGCTCTTAATACAGTGTTCTGACGCTTCTCCTGTGAATCAATTTTTGTTCAAAAACTAGGATGATTGTGCAAAGCCAAAGGACTGTCACACACAAACACACACAAAAAGAATAAAAGATTTGTATAAAAAAAAATTAATGCCTCATTAAAATGCATGTAAAAAATTCCACAAAATTTCAGAATTCGTATAAATTTGGACTGAGTTTGTTTATTCCAGTTTTTTTTAATGAATATTTTTGTCGTGAAATAATAACTTGTGTGGATTATTAGTTTTACTGAAAGAAACAAATCTATTTTCTAATACAGGAGTCTACTAAAATATTAATATCAATATTTGTGTACTTATTTTTAGAATTTTAAATAAGCTATTTCAGAAAATCTTGTCTAAAGAAAAATTGGTACCACTTGAAATTAGTCTATTAACTAGAGCTGTAGCTAGTGTTTTCAGCAACCGGGAAAAACTGAAGATTCCATGCCCTGTCCTGTTTGCCAAGAATGAAAAATATTTCATTCTAAAATTTTGGAACATTAATCCCTCCCTGGATGCTGCACCTGGAAGAGATGTCTCCTCCTGTCCCCTCCTAGCTATGTCAATGCTATAAACTGAACTTTGGGTTAATGAAGGTGATTATGGTCCAGATTAATTGGGATAATTGAGGTTCTACTTGTGGAATACTACTACTCACCATCAAACAATCTAAAACTATGCTCAATTAAATTATAAAATCATCCAAGATGCTTATTACAAAGTTGAAATTGATTATAATGAGTATATTACCAAAACAAAATAATTGCTACTTCTGATAAAAGTAATTTTATTAAGAATACATGATTTTCCATATTGCTGCATTCTAAACTTTAAAGCATCCTGAATGTGCTTTAAATTTTAGATATTTATTTGTAGTACCATTATATTATGTTATTAAAAAATATTTTTAAACATATAATTATTGAAATAAATACAAAATATTGCAGTAAAACATAACTTACTATTCTGATTTCCTTCCACATAAAGGTTAGGAGTATACATAACTACTGGTGGATGCATTATTTCTCTGTTTTCTTCTGACTTAAAAGAACTGTTGAATAAAAAACAAACAAAATAAATAAAAATTTTAAACTCAAAATTTTAGCACTTTTTTAAACGAATAATAATATAAACAAAATAAATGTTGTTACAAAATTTACAGGCGTGGTGAGGTAGCTTCCCCGCAATGCAGTTTTAGGGTTTCCATAAAAATGGCAAGGAAAAACAAGGTTGCCACATTTGGCGACGAAATTGGTGATATACCATGGACAGATGGAGAACTTTCTGGAACAAATTCTTACCAGTTTAGCCCAGAATGTTCTCGAACACAAGCCGAAAGCTATATAAACCCTGCCGGTTCGCAGTCAGAGTGCGTGTGCTTCATCTAGCAAGCTGATAGTCAGTCATTGAGCGAGTGTCTCGAAGTCTAGCGCTGAGTTGGTCGTTGAGTGCATTGATAGATTCTTTTAGTGCATCGTTGAATTTTGTCTTAGACTGTGCTGAGTCGAGATCTATACTCTTGTAAATCGTTGAGTGCATCGTGTGGAGAGTCTCGAGAGTACGTGGAGTTCCGAGAACGAAAAAAGCAGAGTTGGGAACTGTACTCGGGTGCTTTGCAGTGAAGCTGTGTCCACCGTTATTGCCTGACAGTGTGAAGGCTGTGTCGTTGAACGTGTCAGCGTGTTTATAACAGTTTGACGACTGTAAAAGTGATTTTAAAGCTATCTGATTAGTATTAATAAATAAAGTGTGTTTCGATACTTCATCAAATGTCGCGTTATTCACTCCAAATCTACGAACCCCGCACGAACGTGAAGGAAGAAAATAATGTAACAACTGGTGTCAGGAAGAGAACAACGCAATAATATATTAAAAATATTTATTAATTGTTTATATTGATATTAAATTAACATCTTAGTATACAGTAGTACCTCCTGTTAGGGACACCTTCAAATGAGAGACCCTTCTATTTAAGGGATAATGCTGTTAGTCCCGAGCCCTCTGAATATGGCCCTTAATGCATTTACCTGTTATCAAGGGCCACTAAGGAACAGTGAAAAAAATTTTCAAAAATAAAATAGAGGTACAGAAATAAATAAAAACAGAAATACTCTTCGTCAATAATCTTTTAAGGTTTCAAAGGCAATTTTGTGCTTAGTGAAAGATAGTTTTGTGACAAGGCCACAAGTGTAATGAAAAGTTAATTCCTCTCTTTTGAAAACTGCTTTTCAATAGGAAAAAGGGGAATAATACATTGAGTTAAAGCAAGTTACGGTGCATTCAAAAAGGTATTTTACATTCATAGAAATCAAAGTCCAGTTATTCTTGTTACAATTCTCAGCTGGGGGTAAACATTCTTAACAAATGTAAGGCATTCAAGACAGGGAGGGACCAATGAAAAAGAAATGGTGGTGATATGACTGGACAACCAACAATGCAAATAGAGTGAAAATTTCTATCATTCTTAGTTCTTGCTAGGACTGGGGAGCAAGAGAAGTTTAGTTTTACACTTGTGTACTATTTTATTTTGTGTGCTACTATTTTTGAGAGATTTAGGGGAGAAATTTGATTAACCAAATTTCTCCCCTAAATCTCTCAAACCAAGTACAACCAAGTAAGTTAACCAAGCAAAACCAAGTACAACCAAGTAAGTTAACCAAGTAAAACAAGTTAAACCCAAGTCTCAAAACAAGTTACTTCGTAAAAACCAAGTAAGTCATGTTCTAAGGGAGAGAGAATAACTAATTCAAATGAACACTCTTAAGACTACGATTTACAAAAACTGAAGCATGTGAAATTAATACAGTAATGTTCAACTGGTTTTGTTCTGTGAGAGCAAACAATATTCCTGTAAATGGAGTATTACTGCAAGAAAAGGAAAAAGAAGTTTTGGAAAATCTGGGATTCCAAAGCATCAAATGGTTGGTTAAAAAAAAATGTAAGCAAAGGCATAATGTCACTCTTAAGACTATTTGTGGTGAAGAAACCAGTAGATATGCAACAAGTAACAGATTAGATAAAAAAAGCTAAATGAAATTTGTGAAGGATATAATGCTAAAAGACATCTATAATGCAGATGAAACTGGATTATTTTAGCGAATTTTGCCTAACAAAACTGTATGGTTCAAAAAGAAAAAATTTTTCTGGTGGTAAAAGCTCCAAGGAACATCTCATTGTGCTACTTTGCCGTAATATGGAAGGACAATTTGAGCAATCGCTTGTAAGTGGAAAGGCCAAAAAACAAAGATGCATTCAAACATGTCAACTAAAAAGCTTTATTGGTTCACTGGCATCACAATAAAAAGTTATGAATGAAGCACAGCATAATGTCAGAGGAAACGTGTAATGTAAGAAAACTTTAAAGATGCTTTAAAAGACACCCGTCAATTAAAAAAATTGATGCTAACTGTTGGTCATAGAGAAGGACTTAATATTATCAGGGTCTTTAAAATATATGTGGGAAAAAAATGCCATAGATCTTCAAACTGCTAGCTATGCATGTTAATTAGTTACATTAAATCAGCATGCATAAGTGAATGTTATAATTTCTTTTAAACTCGTAGAACATGATTACCAGAGATGAAAAATTTTTCAGAAATATTGGTCACTTAAAAGTGATCTTCTTAGTGAAGTGATTACCATAAGAAGATTCTTCTAATTTTAATCTGATTATTAAAATTCCATATTTGATTATAATGATTATAACAAAGCACATGCAGGTTACCTGCATAAGGGATGCTTTTTATGGAGGATTTTCAGAAAGGAACTGGCTTGTATTCATGCTATAACACCGTACAAACTATGAAAACATCCAAGCAGTTAGCCTGTTCACCAATATCTAAATGGAATTCAAAATTAGGCACAAAAGGAAGCTTGATTTGTCATTGAATTGATATTAGGCAACATAATTTGCTTTTTTGAATAATTTTAAATCTTACATTGGCACGTTTTTCTTGCATTTGATTTGAATTCAAGGTCTTTGACAAAGTTGCCACTCAAACAGAAATGAAATTCCCCGACTTTTCCAGGTGTGTTTTAAGAAAATTTCAGTCTATACGCATAGTGCTTGTTGGGTGTGCCGAGACGGAAATTAATTATGGCACCACTTGGAAACACAAAAATTTGCCAATTACATATGATTATATATATATTATACATAATCCCCAAAGCATTACTATTATAACTATTACAGGGTTGTTTTCTCCACTAAAAATTGAGATTAGAATCTGCCCATCTGGATTAAAAAATGTCCTTTTTTGCAAACATTTTGCTGCTAAACGAAAGAAACGAAAGAAAGAAATCTATTTAATGGTATTTAAAAATAAATTCAGGTATTTTATATTTATTTAGTCGCATACATAAGCAAAAAATATATGCATTAAATTCCATGATAGTATGTCATCATACTGCTACAATTGGCTTCAGGATTAAGCCTGAGAAAACTGCCTGAAATTTGAATGTATTATTAACCAATGTAGCGATCTCAAGAACATCTCAACGCTAACAAATTTGAATGAGTTGGAATTCTTGAACTTAGCACAATGGAGCTCTTTTGGGCTAGTAGTAAAGAATTCTTCTCGTAATAAACTGACTCAGGTTTGGGTTCTGCTCATGCAATGCAGCATTTCGTACTGGTGTTAATAGATGCCGACATGAGCAAGCAACTACCGAGGCTTCACCGAAACATGTGATCGCTACATTGGTGAACTGGAGAACTCTTCCCTCCACTGAGGACAAATAACTAACTATGTTACATGCTCCACCCCACAATTTAACGGTGACACTGCCAACAAAATGGGGTTCTCCTCATATCACATCATAGAAAAAACACCTTAACAGTAAAAATTATAAACACCTTAACAATTAATAAATATGTTTCTAATATATATTTGTAAAAAATGTTTTCATGCCATATAACAAGTCCCCTCTTCTTTAAAAAGGCATTATCACATACATTTTTTTGCTCAATTAGTTAGTTAAGAATACTGATAAGAATTTCAATTTTACTGTATTAGAAACATGAAATAAAAATTTATGCAATAAATACTCAAACTTTAAGCAAATTAATGATAGAACGAGCAAAACCAGATCTTTAAACTGAATAAGAATCCTTTGTGATTTTAACAGCTTTAAACACATTTGGTGCACTTACACTCATGCATTCATTATATTATGATAATACTGAATATTTAAAAAGCAGTGCTTTTAGATTTAATTTTTTGTACAAAAATATGAAATAATTGTAAACAAGAAAAGCAAAAATCTGAGAAGCTTACTTTAAACTTGATGCTGGTGAGATGCCAGGCAATGATAAAAATGTTAGTAGCTGCTTAGGCACTGGTTTTCGTTTCAAAAGATCCTTATGAAATAAATTAAGTAAAAACATTCTATTCTTAAATGTTTGTGTATGTATATATATAAAAAATACACACACATGCATATTTCAAAATTAAAATTAATAACATTTAAAAGCTTTATAGCTAAAATTGAAATAAATTTACTTACTTGAATGTAATTTTCAAGACCTTTTCGTCTTTGTTCGAGAACTTTTGGATTCAAATTGCGAACTTTCTTAGGAGGAAATTCTGGAGCATTTATAATATGTTTTAGCTAAAGAACAACAACAAGAGAAAAATTTTAATATAGTTAAAAATATTATATAAAAGTGAATATTAAAATTAATGTTTCATGCAAAATTATGAAGAAAATTAAATAATATTTTTCAGGGCATTAATTGGCATACAAAATACAAACTTTACACTGAATAATGCAGATGCTTCCCTATATATATTCATTAAATAATATAAAGTATTTTCAAAACTATTTCTTAAACTAAATATATTTTAATTAGTAGTTATGATTTTACAACCAGAGATCAAATGGCTCGTTAAATGGTTACATGGGAAAATGTGATAATTCCTAACATTGAAAGGAATTTACTGCATTCTGCCATACATGGTCTTGTGAAGTATGTGGTTAGCATTAAGCTACTACTGCAAGATTCATGATTCTAAACTTGGAAAGGGCATAAGTGAGTTTTCATGTTAAAATCCAGCAGTCTCTACAGTGACCATTGTACTATAAATGTGTTGGATGATAACTTGGCACCATTTAGATTTGGTCCTATTTTTCTCCAGCTACCTTTTAAAGAAAGGAGAATGCAAAAAATTATCATTTGTCGGCAGACTCTCTTTTGATGCAAGTGCACATTCAGCCAGCATAGGAAGATTTGTGGTTTGAATTTAGGTAGCAGACAGATGAGCTTTTCCGCTTTTCTTGCTCTAGAAAACCTAACAACTTCTATAACAAATAAAATCTCATCCCCAACAACAGCCAATCACCTATTCCATTCAAACTCAGGAACATACTAATGGCCTCATGATGGGGTTAATTCTGAAGATGGTTAGTGTGCTGGGGTGTTATCTGTGCAATCCATAGTGAAGTCTCTGGTGCCCCACTCACTTTTACTACCTACTTACAACAATATAACAGGAAAATTTTAATAGAAATGTTCTTAAATTGCCATGTAATTTTATAATGAGATGGTACAATTAATTAATTTATAGAAGATTAATGAAAGCTTGTTTAAATTTATACTACTAATAAGCTCATTTTCCCCATACTCCAAAAAGTGTACAGTCTTTGATTATTTCAATTTTAGAGCAGTAATACTGTTGAATAAATCTAAATATTAATTGTGAAAACATAAAATGTAAATTCTACATAAATGAATCTAAAACGAACATCTCCAAGTTAGAAAACCTACATAATTTACTTAAAATTATTCCTAAAAACAATTCTAATTCGTATAGCAAAAAATTGTCTTGAGTAATTATAAATACATCAGTTCATTGATTATATCACCTTATGCAAATTTCTAGTAAGAATAATAATACATTTGATGTGCTTTTAATTATAGTTGAACTCAACTAATCCTATCATATCGCTCTACAGTATATACTCGGAGCAAATATACAATTCTCCAAACACAATCTCCCTAATTTTCTAATTTAGTATTAGAAAAAAATTAAAGTAACAAAAAAAAAAAAAAAAAAAAACTGAAAAATTACTATCTGAATTAGAATTGAGATTACAGTCTATTCTCAGAGAATTTACTGCTAAAATTTCAAAAAATTAAAAAGCATATTAAAAAAAACTAAACAGTATGCAAATTATGAAATAAAAAAGAAACTGAAATACGATCTTAACCTTTTGTGGACAGGATAGCCATTATATTGCTCTTGGTATTCCCTGTTTGAAAAGACAGGGATGTCCACTTTAGTGGTCATGCAAGTACAAGTGAGTTCTTTCAAGAAATGTGGCTAGAAGAAATCACCTGGATGACTTTACATGCAGAAGAATGATCAGAAAGCTGGAGAAAGAGAGTCTGCTGACTTGATGTGACCAGTGTAGCTGAAGAACTCCAGAATCAACAAAAGTGTCGTTTTGCATACTTGAAAAGCCTTCCAAATCATTAAGTACAGCTATTAGAAATATTGGTGATGGCCAGCACAGGAAAACAACTGCAGTGGATGACCGACATATCGTCCTGCAACCGAAAAGAGCCCGAAACCAGTCAGCAGACGTCATAGCTCAGCAACTGTATACACCAACAGGATGACAAGCATCATGGTTTACATGTCCAGACACCTTTGCAAAGGTGGTCTATTCGCCTGCCGTCCTGAACACTGCATCCTTTTGAAAGTTTGCCATCAATGCCACTGTTTAGAGTAGCGCAAGGAGTCAAAAACTGGACATCTCATCAATTGAGTTGTGTCCTCTTTACGGATGATAGTCGTTTTAGTGCCACAAGCTATTTTCAATGGCAGTTGATTTGGAGAGAAGCTGGAGCACCCTTTCATCCCAGTAACATCACAGAAAGAGACCATTACAGTGGTCCTGGAGTTCTTGTTCGGGGAGGCATTTATGCTGAATAGGTGAACAGAGCTCCTTATTCTCGAAAAAGGTTCTGTAACTGGAGACAGCTATTGTCAGGAGGTGATCCTTCCCCATGTATGTATGTTCCGAGATGCCATTGGAGCAGACGTCGTTTTTATGGATGACAATGCACAGCCTCACCGGACTCCTGCTTTTCAGAAGCTATTGGAAAGTAAAGCTATAACTTGAATGGATTGGCCAGTGTTCTCCCTTATTAAATCCCACAGAACATGTGTGGGATGCTTTGCGGCACGATTACATCCTATGGCGAACATCCAACAACTGAGAACTGAAACATATGCTGATTGAAGAATGGGCACTCTTACCTCAAGAGCTGTTGGTCAATCTGGTACTGAATATGGAGAGACGGTGCGAAGCAACCATTACAGTAAGGAGAGGACATATTCCATACTAAGGAACATCTGCTTGTTGTTCTTCCTCTTATACAGACAATCATGTGTAACTGTACTATGAGTTCAATAAAGCTTTTTTTGTTTGATTCCATACTATATTCTTTGCATTCATTTTTGCGCAACTATGCTTTAGTCATCATTTAAATACAAAATGTTGTCTCTTGTTTCTGAATTTCATATCTCTCAGATGACTTTTCATGAAGTTATTGCAAAAAGAACACCTGTTGCTTAAGTTTTGCACACCATTGTATATGCTGTGGTCAAAACTCAAACTAGGATTTGTGAACAAATATGCTATTCTAATTAAAACTTGGAAAATCACTGACAGAGACTCATGAAATGCTGATAGCGAATTACAAAATATGTGCTGATACCTTGAAGTGCATGCATAAGTGATTTAAAGGCCTCTGAGAAGGGTGGGACATCACTGATGATTCCTCTCAAAGTGGTCAGCATGCAACTGTGTGCACACCAGACAAAGTGAAGGAACTTTTAGTCTAGGATCGTCATATAACAGTGTAAATGATAGCGAAAAAAGTGAGAATTGATTATGAGGCAGCTCACCTGACGACTCACCATTTAGGTTAATGCAAATTTTGCTCCTGACTTGTGCTCCCACATTTTTTTTACCTCGGAACAAATGCAATTTTGGCTTGATGCCTGTGGACACCTCAGTGACATGGCAGATTGAAACTCAAATTACCATCATCATGGGTGGCAAGACCTGGTGTCTGAGGCAATTCCTTCCTGAGAGCACCACGTTTAATGATGCAATAATGTGGAAATATCAAAATGCCTGCTGTAACAGATCAAGTGGTTATACCCTCAATATGCCAAACAAAGGCAACTAAACCCTGCTCCACTAATAATGCCTGGCCCTACACCACCTGGCTGGTGCAGCAAATCCTGGCCAACAGGGTAGCTATGTCCCTGAATCTCTCACCTTACTGCTGACTTTTCCTTGTTCCTCAGATTCAAATCAGCCCTGAAGGGCCAGAGGTTTTCGGCATTTCAGACATGTAGAACTATGCTACGACTTAGCTAAACCCCATCCCTAAAGATAACTACACCAGGAGTTTCTAGGACCTGTAAAACCATTCCCAAATGTGCATTACCACAAACGGGGATTACTTCAAAGGACTGTAACTGCTGTTTTATTATGTAAGATAACAATCCATTGTAACTATAGATGCTTTCACCAAACCTTCTGGACAGAGCTTGTATATTTGTCGACTGAAATAATCAGATATTTTCATTTACGAATTTCTGTACTTGTGCTTGTTTTCTGCATTTATCTTGGATTTAATAAAATAGCTGTTCTCATAGAGGTTTGACGTTCTTATATCTGATTAGATTTTGTGCCAATATTTAAATTTCGTGCCATGTTGTCTCCCATTACCTGCAAAGTACCATAAAATTTAATTCAGATTCCTTTGATTATGAATGAAATAACTGATTGATTTACAACATTCGATTTTTCCCCTTTTCTAAATATTATTTTACAAGCAAATATAGTTTCGTTTGGTTTATTGAGATTATGGCAAAGTACACTAGGGCTATCTGCCTAAGGGGAGGGATGCCTCCGTGGAGAACTTTCTAAGGGAAACTGGCTCGTATACACGTTACACATGGGGAAAACCACGAAAACGCGCATGCAGCCAGCCCATTCGCGGAATTCGAACCTCAGACCGAACTACCACTGTTCAGCAACTTTACCGCTCCGCCGCTGGTGGGCTATAAGCAAATATAAATGTGATGGAAAGATAAGCTGTATAAAAAAATCTGTTGTGTACACTACATGACTCCTTGTACAAAATATTAAATTATACACATTTTTCTTCAATTCATTTAAGCTTATTAGATTGAATTAAATTTACTTCGTCGATAGCGCATAAACCCCAACAGAATAAATGTACTCTTTAAAATTCATTATATTTGTTTAAAATAGCGACACTCTGGCCTTAGGTTCACTTAACAGCGTTACATATCATTCATTTTTTAACTCAGAATGTACAAAATTTATATCACCTTAAGCATTATCTAATCATTGCTACATGTTCTTTTCAAATACTATAATAAATCTAAAATGATGTATAAAAGAAATTAAGCAAATAACAACCCAAAAAAAAGAAACAGTTTTTCACAGATGATTCAGAATTTCTCATTGAATTAATTCAGTTTTCACTTCGCGACAAAGCAAAAATACATAAAAACTCAAAATATCTGTATTGAAAATTATGAGGTAAATCTTAAAACACTTTTTCCTCGAATAAATTCCAGAATGGATTAAGCATGATTTAATTCGCAATAATAAAAGAAGGCATTATCTTTGTTATTGTGAAGCTTACTTTCTCTAGATTGGCAACAAATCTACTATTCTGTTGCTTCAAATGTAAACAAACATGGTAACCATAGCAAAAATAATCAGGCTTAGCGGCACTTCAACAACTTTTAAATTGTTGATAATTCTAAAAATATTGCATATAGATTTACTAAAGGCATAAAAACCTTAACCGGAAGATAGTAACAACATAATTAAATCATTTTTAATGCAAAAATTGCACAATTTACAAACATATAAGAATAAAGAAACTGAGATTACGGAGCCAAGTAACAGAGTGGATATACATATATATACACATATATTTACAAGAATATAGTAAAGTTAAATTAAATTTAAATAATTCTCTTGCAACATTGCTGCAAGGAATGAAATTTGAATTTAACAAATATTCTCTATTCGTATAAAGCTAATATAAAATTAAAATTTAATTAAGAAATTTTAATTGCAAAAATAAAAAATAATTATAAAATTTATTATTGCTGCGACCTAATTTACAATAGAGAATACTTGTTAAATTCAAATATACATATATTTTTATACTTTTGGTGCAGCTGATTGCACCCAAAATACGACGTGCACATCTACGTTATAGCAATCCTATATACAAAATTTCAACATTCTGAGGCTACTCGTTTTTGAGTAGTGCGAGATATGTACGTATCTTGCATAATTCAAAAACGTACAGACACCATGAAAAGTTCTCTTCAGAATTCATTTTAAATCAGTATAATTTTTTTTGGCGGGGAAGAGCTCTTTATTCTGTCCTTACGTACAGATGTCACGCAAAAACATCGTGTTAAATTGCATTCGATAGTAGTCAGAATGGATATTTGCATTGAGGAATACTTCATACAAGAGAATAAAAAAGAAAACCAAACACAGTTATATCAAACAATTTCATATTTAAAAATATCAAGAATTCCATAGTTATACTACCTGCTTGTGCAAAGAATGAAAGGCACGATATCTTCGCTCAATTTTGTGGCACTTCCCTGAAGCATAAACTTCAATTTCAAACACCTAAATCCAAATTTTCAAAATTATTTACTTTCTGAGAATTGATAAGTAACATACATTTTCATAAATATAAATAAAATGATAAATTTCACAAATTTTTTCTATTATTTCTATCACAATGCTTTAAATGTTTTAATAATTTTGAAATTGTCCTATATTCAAATATATATATATATATATATTTGATTCACATAAAATAAGTACAGTCAAAAGTCGTTAATTCGGACACCCATAATCCGGAATGATCTATAATCTGGACCTCAAAGCTAAAAACTTTTTGCGCATGTGCCGCGTTGACACATGCGCATAGGCATTTACGTATACGCGTAAGACTTTTATGACTGCGTATATGCCTGTGCGCAAGTGCAGAATACGTTTTCGCATGCGCATTTAATGTATAACGGATGGTACAAGCTAAAATTATCTAATTATCTATTTCAGTTAATGTTGATGATTGCGTTGTTCCTTAATCTTTGAACTGGATCCGGCTTATTACTTTTTTCAGACTGTAAGAGCAATTTCATAAAAGTAAACTTGAACTTTCGATTATGTCAAATAGAATTTCTGATGCTGGAGTTCCCAAAGGATCTACAAAACGAAAGTATGTTTCGATGTCCATCAAACAAAAAGTGGAATTGCTGCAAAAAATGGATAAAGACATGAAGAAGGTGACAGAGAGGTTAGTGAAAATGAAAAAATTTCGATTGACGAGTTAGTCGGTATTCTCGGCACAGCAATTACGGGACTCGAACAGCGGAACTTTGTAACTGAACAAGAAATTATGTCTGTTTATAGAATTAAAGAGAAAGTATTATCACATAAAACAAAGCAACTTAAACAACATACATTGAAAGAAATGTTTAATAAAGTAAAACAAATAAATATTAAGCTTTTTTTTTTTTTGTAAATTTTGATACCCTTTAGATCAGTGGTTCTTAACCGGGGGAGGGAATGTATTTTTGGGGGTGCGGGAGAAGCCCCTACCTAATCATAAAAATTATTAAATATCATTTATTAAATTTCTTATAATAAAATATTTGAAATCTGCAATAGTGTCTGTAAAGATCGTGACTTGTAAAGATCATGACTTGTAAAGATCGTGACTTAAAGAGAACGTGAAATATAAATAATAGGACAAGAACTTGCATTTTACGGTGTGGCAACAAGAGGAGGATTCGGAAGATTTTTATATATTTTTTGTTTTAGAGAGAGTTTAAGATTTGGAGTATATTTTAATAGTTGTAAGAGTTTTAACTGCAGTAGTTAAGAGTTTAAAATTTTGATAGTTTAGAGCTGCAGTATTTAGTTATTATTTATTTTTTTTTTTTTTTTGGTTCTGTTTTAAAATTCAAATAAAAGTATGCTGTTCATTCTGAAAAATTAGCTTTATTCTTCCTACAAGATTCAATATCCATTATATTGAACGAAGGAAAGGATTTTTACTGGCGCAGTCGACAGGATCGGGATTTCTCCGCATATAATTACTAACCAAAATAACTCAGGTGAGAGCTCAATTTACCTTGTAAACGTAAAATAATTAATTAAGATTATGAAAAGTTAATTATTATTTCCGTCATGGAATCTTAGTTTATTTACTTGTCAAAGTAATGAATATGACAGTGTTCCAAATGTAATTTCGTTTGACTCGCCAGAGTAGGTGAACAACACATTAAGTATTGATTCCACTGATTGATTTTCGTGCCGAATAAAATTAAATTCATTGTGAATTATATTTAAATAGAAAAGAAAAGAAAAAAATTGTTTTTTTTAATAAAACTAAGAGTCTATTGGCTGAATAAAACGAGACATGGCTTTTTATGGGACGTGGGAAAAAAGAGTATTTGCTGGCTTTAGTGCTGAATTAGAAATTCAAGTAGATCCAAGTATGAAAATCGTGGCGATAAAAAATGAAATAATTCAAAGTGATACATATGATGAAGCATTGCTAAAGAAGTGTTTTTAACGATTATTGAAGAGAGGAAAAAGAAAAGAAGAGGAACAGCGCGAAGAAGGAGAAAGAAGAGAATTAAGGAACAGCGAAGAAAGGAGAAAGAAGAGCTTGAGGAAAGGCGAAGGAAGAGAGATTGAGGAACAGCGAAGAAAGGAGAAGAAGAGCTGAGGAAGGCGAAGGAAAGAAGAGATTGAGGACAGCGAAGAAAGGAGAAAGGAAGAGCTTGAGGAAAGGCGAAGGAAGAGAGATTGAGGAACAGCGAAGAAAGGAGAAAGAGCTTGAGGAAAGAACGAAGGGAAAGAAAAATTAGAAGCACAGCAGAAAAGAGAGCAAATGGAGTTTGAATTGAGGAAACTCGAAATTGAATCTCGTGTTCGACTAACACAAACTCCACCACAAATGAAAATGGACATCATAATTTTGATTTAATTAAGCTTATTCCCAAATTCAATTTAAGACACGATGATATTGTGATTTATTATCCTTATTTGAAAGACAAGCTAAAAGGACAAAGAATTGATCCTAAAGATTGGGTTCATGTTTATTGACTTTATGCCATCTGAAATCATTCAATTAATTGGTAGGGAATCTGAAGAAAATTTTGAAGATTATGAGTACATTAAGGCCATTTTATTGAAGAGATTTAAATTAAATCCTGAAAGCTTTAGAACAAAATTTGTGATGCACCAAAAGAGCGCTGAAAATCATGGAGAGATTTTGCTACGAAATTACAAGTTATTTTGAAGAATGGATCAATGGTCTTGAAATCACAAATTTTGCCACGTTAAAAGACTTGATTATTACTGACCAAATTAAGAAAAGAGTACCCTATGAGATAAGAGACCATCTTCTTGACGACTGGGCGAAGTTCGTTCTCCAACCAAATTAGCTGATAAACTTGACGAATATGACAGTGTTCGTAATATCTCAAAACGGACTGGTGGTAATCCATCAGCAGACAGAACTAATAAAAAATGGCAACCTCATTCTCCACTTCCAGAAAGAGCTTTCAGAAATAAATTGCTGTCCGCTGAAAACACGCCAAGAGTGTACCCATCCCGTAAGAGTGACGAACCACAAAAGCCTAGTTTCAAAACTAACTTGCTATAATTGTGGAAAGAAGGTCATACATCTAAGTTATGTACCAAAATCGGATATCAAGAAGTGCTTCTGCAACAGCACAAAACAACTTAATACAAACACAAGCACCCCTTACAGAAAAAGAAAAACCAGAAGTGCTAACTGCCAAGATCTCTATTCCTGTCTCAAAATCAGTGGACGTGTCTAGAAACATAGATGAATTAAAACTGTCAATGTTAAATGTGGAGATTATATTCTAAATGGAATCGTAGACACGGGAGCACAAATTTCAGTAGTCCGTGAGAGAAATTGGTTGACAACATACCTTGCGAAGGAGAAAGTAAAATAGAGATATCTTCTGCTTTTGGGTGAAAACGAAATTACTCCACTAAAGATTTTCCAGATGAAAATTGATGATGAATTTCACGGTTTAGAGTGTCCATTACGTGTGCTGTTTCAAAAAAGCTAGTTTTACCGACTTGCTATTGAGTTCTTCAGCTATGAAACACTCTGTGGAAATATCGAACTGTGGAACAGTGATCGTTATTGGGATGCATCCCCCTTAGAGTACAAAGAGACAGATGATAAAACCCTCACCAGTTGAAGACATACCACAAATTTGGCTGTTGTTAATCAGATTTCCAAGAAAACATAGAGTCTCTGAAAAACAACGAACAGGGTAAGACTGGAATTCAAGACACATCAAGAGCAAGAAGAAACTCTAAAAAAAATGCTTTGAATGGGCAAATAAAAATCAAAATTCATATACTTTCGATGACGGCATATTACTTCATTCCGAATATATTTGTGGTGAAAACATTAAGCAAGTTGTATTACCTTTAGAAAAAAGAAGGGAAGTCCTAAGAATGGCACATGAAATCCCTCTTGCCGACCACCTCGGTGAGGAAAAGACAATTCAACGAATCAAGTACTCATTCTTTTGGCCTACTATTAAGCAAAATGTTAAAAAATTCTGTGAAAGTTGTAAAGAATGCCAATTGAGGAGAACAGTTACGTACAAAGATCAAATCCCAATTCAACCTATTGTTAGGCCGGAAACACCCTTTGAAGTATGGAGCGTGGATTGTATCGGGCCATTAGAACCTCCATCCAGGAGAGGTCATCGGTTTGTAGGTGAGGGGATTGTATAAAATATAAATATGTGCAGTTGACCTATGCACCAGATGGGCAGAAGCCACCCCCGTCAAAGACATAAGTGCGAAAACAACATGCAACGTTTTGATGAGGCTTTTTACTCAAACTGGATTTCCAAAAGTGATTTGTTCCGACCAGGGAACTAATTTCACAGCCAAACTCACCCGAGCCTTTGAAAACTTACTTGGTGTGTCTCCACGATTCTCCACTCCAGGACACCCCGAGAGTATGGGTGCTGTCGAGCGTTGGAATAGAACCTTAAAAGAGATGATGAACAAAAATATCCAAGAACATGGCAGAAACTGGGATTTGCATCTTCCCTATCTCCTGTTTGCCTACATAGAAGTGCCACATAGCACCACTGGTTTGTCTCCCTTCCAGATGGTATATGGAAGAATACCACCAGGACCATTATCTTTGCTGAAAGAAATATGGACAGGTGAACATAGCATTCCAATTACAGCTTCCCGTTCAATTGAAAATTATCTACAAGACCTTTTAGAAAAATTAAGAAAAGCTCATGACATTGCATCAGCAAATTCCAAAATATCTCAAGAAGAGTACACTTCAAGATACAATTTACGTTCTCAAGAAAAGACTTTCAATGTTGGGGACAAAGTCCTCATGTTAATGCCATCATCATCTCATAAATTGCTCAACACGTGGCAAGGACCAACTACCGTGATCAAACTTACCAGGCCACACTCTGCCAAAATCGAGATGGAAAACGGAAGTATTATAGAACTCCATATAAATAAGTTAAGGCCATATATTGCTCGTGTAGATCACGTTGGTATCATTTTTGACCAAGATGAAG